GTGAGCAAGCAGGATGATATGGTTAAACATGTAAGTTTTAAAGGAGAGATCACAAATTAGAGTTGAATAGAATTGTGGTAGAATGCCTTGGGTACAGGAATATGTGCAATTAATTGGGGAAGAGGGAAAAAGAAATAAGAAAGAAGGAATGTAACTATAGCATTTCCCAACAGTTTGCCTATGTATTTGCCAGCACCAAAGTTTTTAGAGTAAGCCACTTAACGTTTCCACTGCTAGTTTTAAGGAAAGATAGCAGTGGTGATTTTTATAAAGTGAGTATACATTTATTTTTATTCTGAAATGTAAATTTTTATTTCATAAATTAACTAATTGGTGATTTGTAAACAATGGGAGGAAGATTAGAACAATAATAGAGTTACTGAATTACACAGGAGAGTAAAGTGAATGAATAAATCTACTTATCTTGTGGTTAGTTTATATCTACCATGATGCATAAAACTGAGAAAGGAGAAATGCCCAAATTATATAATGCATTATCTTGTTTAATATTTATTTTAGTAAATAATTCTTGTCTGCAGCATAAGCTCAAGGACAGCTATATCTCTATTGCATTAGTTCTTATACAAAGCAAGCTACTTCTAAAGAAGTTTTATCTATTAAAAAAAGAAATTAAATAAGGTGCTATGTTGACCTGGCCAGCCATCTTGTTTACTATTTCAGATACAAATATAAATATAAGGAATGATAATTTTGTTCTGAGAGTTGGTCTAGCCAGAGCAAAACTGTGGTCTGCTGGTAAAGTATGAGGCAATGAAAAGGAATCTTGTATTACACTGCCCAAAATGTACCCATTTTATGGATAAACAGGAGACTTTAGCACCCGTCAATTATACTAGCTACTTAAATGTCATGACAATTAAAATAAATATAGAAAACTGCACCTATATATTTAAATGTCATTTAATGTAAACTTTTTAGTAAGTGGTAGGAAAATGCCAAACTAAGTTAACTGAATTATCAATAACTAGACTGTGTATGTACATAAAATATACTGTATTTCTATAGGCAGTAGTGAGAATTATCATTGACAATACATGATTAACCAGGTTAAGCTGAATTTACATAAAGAATAATGTATAACTGTATCTGAGTGGGGAAAAAAAAAACCCTTTCTAACTCCCTCTAGATATAGTTTATATCAGTGATTCTTAAACTTCAGTGTGCATCAGAATCACCTGGAGGGCTTCTTATAACACAGATTGCTGGGCCCCACTCCAGAGTTTCTGAATCAGTATGTATGGGATGGGGCCCAAGAATTTGCATTTCTGACTAGTTCCCAGGTGATACTAATGCAAGCTGGTGGACTGAGGATTATACACTTTGAGAACCACTGATTTGGACACACTATATATATAGAAAATGATATACTGTAATATTCTTATATACATGAAACAAAATATATAGAAAGAAGGCTGGTTTTAATGAACTCTCAAACATAAATTACCAAGCTGAATACTGTAATGTTTCTAAAATGATTTGCTGAAAGTGTAATCATTTCCCCTTATAGAGTCTTCAGTTCTACTATATGGTCATTTTAGAAAATATCCACATAACTCTTACACTAGGTTCGTTATCGAAAAGAAAATGGGACATAATATTCTAAATAGTTAAGATGTATTCATTAAGCAGGAATCATCTCTATATAGCATTCTTGGCTTCTTTGGAATGATTAAAGTGCATAATATCAATAGGGTACTAAGAATATTGCATAAAGGTTTGCAGTTTTCAGTGCCACTAACAGTCACAAAAATACCTATATGGGGAAAGTAGCTCTATCCCAAAGGTACTACTATCCTGACCTGTTGTTCATGGCCCTTTCTTCAAGCACCACCATTGTGTTAAGGAGCTGGAATAGAGGAAAAATTAACAAAAAGCAGGGCATTAAATCCAACTGTATCTGGTTGAAAGGAATTATTATCTTAAATTTGCAGGGACTCAAATATAACTTCTATCTCATTTCCTTTGACACTTTTTTCCCTAGGTAAATTAATTGAGGTTCTGTTTTTTTTTTTGTTTTTTTTTTGAGACAGAGTCTCACTTTGTTGCCCAGGCTAGAGTGAGTGCCGTGGCATCAGCCTGGCTCACAGCAACCTCAAACTCCTGGGCTCAAGCGATCCTTCTGCCTCAGCCTTCCAAGTACCTGGGACTACAGGCATGCGCCACCATGCCTGGCTAATTTTTTCTATATATATTAGTTGGCCAATTAATTTCTTTCTATTTATAGTAGAGACGGGGTCTCACTCTTGCTCAGGTTGGTTTTGAACTCCTGAGCTCAAACAATCCGCCCGCCTCAGCCTTCCAGAGAGCTAGGATTACAGGCATGAGCCACCACACCCGGCCTGAGGTTCTGATAAGTACACTAAAATGAACAACGTTGCCCTATCTAATGTCAAAAAAATTGACATTACCTGGATTCACTTAAACTATGCTTTAGTAGGGATTTATGTTCACCTAAGATCAGAGAAAATGCTTTAGACACTTCTTGTTGAAATTTACACATATTTGTGTGCATTAAGTCTCAAAGACAGCAAAATTCTCATTAGTATTTAGATAAGACCTATCACTAGTTGGTTGAGATGAAGAAAAATTTAGAGTTAATTGATATGAAGCCTAAATAATATAATTCTGTAATCTTTTACCTTCCCCAAAGAACAATTCTAACAATGCGTCTTTTCTATTATTCTTAAGCCAAAGGGACTTATGAAGTTGTTTCTTATGGTGATCAAGAAATGGAGAAAAGAATGGCTAAATGGAAAAAGTGAAAGTTGGGACCTGTTAAAACCATTTGATTATATGTTTTTGGCAATAGTGAAAAATAAAATTATAAGAAGGGAGCACTATTATAGTAAAAAGGCACTTTTCCATAAGCATTAATCTAGATATAAAATATTAATTTAAAAAATTTCCTGAAAGAGAAAAGTGGAGTAAAGAAGAGTAAAAACAGAACTTTATTAGTAAAAGAGGCTAGAATGGCATAAAATTAAATGAGGATTAAAGAAGTAATTAGAACACTGGGACTGACTATCCACAAATGATACTATAGATATTATTCTGATATTTACTACATTATGAACATTATCTCCACAATATAGCTCTAGTGACACAAACAAGGCAGAGAAAACCTCTTTTTCATGTGTGTTACATGATTCTACTAACCCATTTACTAGGGTACCTACTCTGAGTTATTTTTCTAATTTATCTCCTGAACTACACAGTCTCTCCATACCGAGTCCCTCCTTATAACCAAAGGCATGCAGATGTAAGACAGCTGTCTTGGTTAGAGAGGATGCCTATAGTCACACAGCAGAGTAAAGCTAACAGATCTCGTATAATTTTCAAATAATTAAAAAAAAAAGGAAACATATTAAAATAGAAAATTTCATCAGAAAAATGAAAAATTCTTAGATTACTCTAAGTGAAAATTTATAACTGTGTTAAATTTGAGACTTTAATTATTAAATCATTTTATTCTAATCATTATTTGTTGATGTATCTAACAGATTTCACTTTTCCAAAGCAAGCATTTATAATGGCTTAAATGGTCAAAAAGAATTATTATCTTAGTTCTGGAGGGACTCAGACACAACTTCTTTCTCATTTCCTTTGACACTATTTTTTGTAGGTAGATTAGCTGAGGTTGTGATGGGCAGGAAATGCACTAGAATGAAATTCCAAACTACATCTCATATGATAATCCAAAAAAAAAGTAAGGAAGGATGGAAGGAAGGAAGGAAGGAAGAGGAAGAGGAGGGGAGGGAATGGAGGAGAGAGGAGGGAGGAGGAGGGATGGAGGCGAGTGAGGAAGGAAGGAAGGAGAAAAAAAGGAGGATCTCTCATTAATACTGCTAATATAATAAACAAAGCCCTTTTAAACAACCTGTTCTAGGGAGATTGGGTAAAACAGATTTGTATTGGCTAAATAACAGCATGATACTCTAATCATAAAGGTAACATGATAAAGTTCAGAGGCAAAATATGACTTCTAATTATCTTCTTCCATGTTGGTGTGGATATATAATGGAATGACAATAAGGAATAAAACACACACACACACACACACACACACACAAGCTCCAAGAATTAATGTAAATTTTTGAAAGCAAGAACTGAATGTAATAATATAAAGAAATAAAATGTGGTTCACAGTTTATTTAGGTCCTTCTGCCATAAATAAATTTAATAAATTGTTGTTTCCATGGCCTTTGCTGGCTCACCGAGTCTCTCCTATATGTAGCTATAACTTGTAACAGTAACCAGGAAACTGCATTATTAGCACAAGTATCAACCACTGAGCTTCAATAAGAAGACAAACACTCTTTGTAACCAAATCATATATTCAGAATGTTGTACTGAACATTGACCTTTAGGGGTAAGGAACATTTAACAATGCAAAAAAAAAAAATCTATTATTATTGAGTAAGAATATGATAGCATAGCACAGCCCTTGTATAAATAACCACAAAATTTATGAGAATAAAAATTGGGTTTTCTGCCTCCATCCAATCCAACCACTACAGTTCAGGTGTATGTTCTGTTCTAAACTTAGGTATTATAAAACAGAAAATTGGTCCCAGTGACTTGGCATTGCCAATCAGCATTTTACAATGATAAACCTCTTGTTAAACCACAAAAGTCAGCACACAAGCCAGTCTTCTTGCCACCACTTCACCCATAGTGCAGTATTAACAATCATTCTAATCAGAACCTGGTGAACAAACAGACTTCTTGAGTCTCCTATGATTTTTCTTAGAAAAAAAATTCAGAAAAAAGACTTACATTTTTTAATGTCTAGTTTTTCTTTTTATGCCTGCTGGGTTTGCTTTGTCTGACATTACAGTCAATCCTGCTCTAGGGTTAGAGTTTTATATTTTAAAACTGAAGCACTGGATTGTGTAGCTGATCCTTCTCATAACCTGAACTATATTGGGTAATTTTTCCTGATAGGGGCCAAGGGAGAAGAGATATATTGAGGAAAATACTTTTGGTTCAAAGAATTTATAAAGTAGCTCTGGATATTACAAGATGGGGAAAATGTTATTAAAATTACAAACATGGGTTTTTTTTAGTGTCTTTATAAATAAAAGGCATAGGATACAGAAAGCCAATTAATAACAACAACAATAAAATATTAAATATATAGTGAGCAAAGACTGAATGGCTCATTCTTGTGAAACACCATTTGACACAAATGCCTCAATGGGTTTCCTTACTCTAACATTTTGCTGAGGGAAAGATCCAGCAAACACACAGTAAGCTGCCTTTAGCCCACTAATAACACCAAGGAACTGCCTGATGGAATGGCCACAGATGAACAGGTCATTTGTTTCAAAAGATACTTAAATACTCAATAAAGACATAACAAACCCCCCCTCACTGTTATCAGACGCCACGTTGTGGTAGAACATCAGACAAACTCACAAATTTACCACAAAAATGTGTGGCAAAAAAGAATAGTTTATATATATGTATATATATAAATTTCTATATTTATGCCAATGTACTCACTCAGTACAAATAGCAAAATAGTATACCATTTCCTAAATACAAAATATAGCTTTCCAAAAAAATGAAACACACATTAGATATAAACCATCCAAAACTTGAACGATTGAAAACTGTATTCAAAATTAAATGACCCAGAGTAGGTCTCTTTCTGAAAAGTTCCCTTCATATCGGCAAGAAGCCTGTACTACTGAAAACGTAATTCAATGCCTCTCAATCAGAGAGAGAAAGAAAGAAAGGGTCGGGGTGGAGGGAAGTATACATAAGAAAGAAAAAAACAAATTAGAAGAGCACATTCAAAGAACAAAGACCATCACAAAAAGAGGGAAAAATCTGGCTGTATAAACAAAACCAACACCACAATTCCACACAGTTCAACTAAATGTATAGGATAGAAAAAAAAATTGAACAGAAAAGTAGCCTTCAACAACAATTAACAGGCTATTTTTTGTACACTTAACAAATAAATGAAACAGACAAGAACACCAAAACATTATACAACACATTGAAGTCACATACATGTTGGCCTTATATTGCATTGACAGCTCTCCACATGCCAAAAGGAAGATGAGACATAAGCACATGTCCAGACACAGGTGGTAGTGAGAAGCAGGCATCCCATGGGTGGCAAGAACACCCAAATTGTATAACTAATGCTACAACTGCAAGTTCTGGAGTGTGTTATTTTGCTCTGTATAGATGTAACACAGTTAATTCTTCATTTTAAGTCAATTATATGACCCTGTAAAGCCTAAGGCTTGTGGAAATCATCAGGTAAGTGACCAAGTAAAGCACTGAGGTGACAAGTGAATTTATACTCACTGCAGCTCAGGGAGAAGTGATGTTTCAAGAAATTTTAGTTTGTCTCTTTTTTTTTTCTTCCCAATTAAAATTTACACTGTTCTCTAATTAGAGGGAAAAATTTGAAGACCTCAGAACAGCACCGTTCATGGGGAAAAATACATTGTTTCTCAGGAATCAACTCCCAATAATTCCCAAAAGAGTACTTCCTGTCCTGTGCTGCAGGATTGCTTGGTCACCCTAAAATGGCCTTTTCCTTTAAGTTGCTACAGGGTCACAAAGCCAGTAGTATATTAATACTTGTCTAAAATAAAGTGGAAAAGAGGTGGAAAATAATATGGATGCATATAAAAAGGGAATACCAGCCTAAGACTGGATTAAGAAGAAAACAGACTCAAATCATTCTGTCAGTTTTAAATTACTGTAGGATATCAGAACATAATTCACCATATATTATCCCCTTCATTTTTTATAGAGCAAGATAAGTATTTTTCTATGCACAGTTATGGCTAAACCCCTTAGTAGAAACACAGAGAATTAACAACTCTCTGAAAAATAAAATCAATAGCATTCCAGCTGTCCCTAGTTTTATGTGTTGTCTGCCTTTGTGTTAAATCAAAAGTCCTCTTATCTGCATGGAGTTCTTAAGACAGCTCATTTCTCAGAAAGTTACCCCTTCGGTTTCTCCATAAAAACTGAAAAAAGATTCCTTCACTTTGGCTAACAGCTGTGTTTTTTTATATTGAAAAAAATCACAGCCTTAGGTATTACTGAATTTTGCATTTTCAAAAGCCATTGCTTGACTAAAACAATGCAGAAAAAAATGAAGAACAAAAGTAAACATGACAAATATTATTTTCTAATAGCAATAATAACTGAGTGGTCCAGCCTTGAAATTAAACTTTACTTTTAAAGAAATAACTCCTAGGAAAATAGCAACAATTAATTATGTCAGCTGGAAACTCAAATTGGTTCTCAGTCATCACTGTTATTAGGAAGATAAAATATGAATATATTATCACTGATGGCTAATCACTGCAACAGACAGCATAGGTGTGCTCTTTTGCAGTCAGAGTAAAATCTATCCATTTACTCAAATACAGTTTTTCATATTTTGTTTTTAAAGTAACAGTTCAGTAATCCTCATGGAACCATAAGATCTCAGGACATCTTGGAATCAGGATTTTCTTCATGGAATTTCTAAAAAAAGGAAAAAGTTTAATACAACTCACAAGGGAGGAAAAACATTTATAAAGTTCCTGTCACCAAATGATCCTCAAGTATATTATGGTACTGTAAATAAAACTTTATCATATTTGTTCTTCCATGGACTTTTCTGACTCAATATTTATTTTTTGAAGAAGGGAGAATTGAGACATGATCATATCCAACATATAGTACAAAGGAAACACATTCTGCATACTCATCAGATATTCTGTTAGTCTAAGGCAAAGAGGCCTAGAGCCAGAAGGAATGCCCAATATAGGTTATCTTTTATGTGAAATGTTTGGGATCAGAAGTGTTTCCAATTTCAGATTTTGGAACATGTGTATATACATAATGAGATATCTATGAAAGGGGACCCAAGTCTAAACACAAAATCCATTTATGTTTCAGTTACATCTAAAAAGATATATCACAGCTAAAGGGGGCTGGGAGGGATGCTAAATAAGAAGCCGTACACCTGAGTTTTAACTGTGATCCATCACATGAGGTCAGGTGTGGACCGCTTTTGCTGTCATGCTGGTCCTCAAAAAATTTCAGATTTTGGAGCATTTCAGATTTTGGATTTTCAAACTAGGGATGCTCTCACCCTTATTAACAATATGACCATAGTGATCACTCAGAATAAAAAAGTACCATTTTATGAGGAAGAAATATTTTAAAAAATTAGAAACTAAACTGCTATTAACCCAAATCTTTAAAAAGAGTAAAATTTGATGCTTTTCAATAAGAAGCCAAAAAAATACTTACATATTCAGTTAAAAGGAACCAGTCAAGTTGTTCCCTTGGTTTTGCAATGAAACAAGTAAATCAATCTTTTCGATATTCTGGTTGGTATTTATAGAGGATGCCAGTGGAGAATTCTCTGACATTTGCTGAGAAAGAAGTGTTGTCACAGGTGCCTGGCCCTCATTTTGTGGTTGGCCTTGTTGACTTATGGCCATCAACTGATCTGGCAAGGTAGCTGGTCCAGAGGTTAAAAGCTGACTACAGTCTGCAAAGACATTGAAAATAGAAGATACCTTATTCATAAAGATTCATGAGAAGATATTTATTAGTTAATGGGGGAAATTCATTACTGTGTTCACTTAGTATATTATTAAAAGTGAGATACTTGTTAGTCCAAGAAAAAGGTATTCATAGAATGGTTCTGAAAATCATCTTAGGTTTCCTCTTAGTATACAAAAATACATTTTTGCTTAGATATCATTAAGTCCTATATAATTTTCTTGGCATACATATTAAAGATGGGTTTCTACTTCCTTACAAACTATTTACTTCAATTGGCTGAGATGTTATCTGTCATTCTTACTTCATTTCCTTTTCAAGTTTATAACTTAAAATGGCAAACACATTTTTATATATTACCCTATTCAATTCTCTCAATATCCTTTTTTTTTTTTTGAGACAGAGTCTCACTTTGTTGCCCAGGCTAGAGTGAGTGCCATGGTGTCAGCCTAGCTCACAGCAACCTCGAACTCCTGGGCTCAAGCAATCCTCCTGCCTCAGCCTCCCAAGTAGCTGGGACTACAGGCGTGTACCACTATGCCAGCTAATTTTTTCTATATTTATTAGTTGGCCAATTAATTTCTCGCTCTTGCTCAGGCTGGTTTCAAACTCCTGACTTTGAGCAATCCACCCACCTCAGCCTCCCAGAGAACTAGGATACAGGCGTGAGCCACCATGCCCAGCCTTCAATATCCTTTTCAAGTATGTAATATTATCACCATTTTAGATGTGAAAACTGAAGCCCGTGAAAGTCATTTTGTACAGGATCTCATAATCTATAAGTTGTAGACTTCTAACTATAATCTGTGCTCTTAAAATGATTGTACTTTGCTTCCTTCTAATAATAATAATAATGTGACCATTTCAATTAAGTAATGAGAAATTAGAAAAAAGTTCTTACTATTTTGAATGCCAAATAAGAACATTCCTGAAGTCTGCTGAGATGAGCCTGGAGAATTCTGTAGTTGATTCATTGTGCCTCCTGCAGTGTTGTGAAACAAAGTAGCCTGTGATTGAGGTGAAGATGTGGCTCCTTGGATTCCTGGCATGTTGTTCTGAGGGGAATAAAGAGGAGACTGTTGCATGTCTTGTTGGTTTATACTGGTCTGCAATGCAGACATTGACGCTGGAGAGAGGAAGAGTGTTACTTGTTGATCTTGAGAATTAGGTGACCCTTGTACCAACTGAATCTGAGGAGAGCTATGGAACAAGGATGTCTGTGATGATTCAGACTGGGTAGGGCCTGGGTTCTGAAGTGAGGAAACTGTGGACTGATTCTGAAATTGCATGGGCTGCTGCTCTTGATTCATTGGGGCCATATTACTTTGTTGGTGAAAAATTGACTGGTTCTGTTGCTCCTGATTAGCCATTGGATTTTGATTTGGGTTGAATATCATGTTTGGTGGTGGTTGCTTCTGAGATGCCATTGTAGCCATGGTATTCTGATTACTAAATAAAATGCTCTGCTGATGTTGCTGCTGTTGCTGCTGTTGCTGCTGCTGCTGCTGTTGTTGCTGTTGTTGCTGCTCCTGGGATGGAGAGTTACTCTGCATAGCAACCATTGAGTGCTGTGACTGGAAAATTGTTCCTTGTTGGTTTTGAGGAATTGGATTAGGTGGAAGGGAGCCCAGGGACACCTGAGGCTGAAATAAACCTTGCTGGGAGGGTTGTGCTTGTTCTTGGGAAAGCATAGGGGTCTGGATATGTGATATTGGAGCTTGCTGCTGGAAAGCAGCTTGCTGTTCAGGGTTTGATGTTGACTGAAGTGGAGAAATTGAGTTCTGTGATGCAAAAAATGAAATCTGTTCTTCTTGGGCCACTGTATTAGTCTGAAGATTATTCATAGGACTCTGGGAAAGAAATATGTTGGTTGACTGCTGGTCTTGAGGAACTGAAGAGCCCTGTAACACAGCAATGGTACTTTGAGAGTGAAACATTGGAGGCTGCATTTGTTCAGAGGAGGTTGTAGAAGTCTGACTGTGGACAATAGGATTAGGACTATGAAAAATAGAACCCTGTGTTTCCTGGGAAAGGTTCTGAGCATCAGCAATGGGATTTTGAGGATGAAAAAGTTGAGCTTGTGAATGAGAAGACTGTTGCAAAAAATTGCCAGATTGAAGTGACATCATCTCATTACCTTGCTGGAATAAACCATTGCCTTGTTGCTGGGTACTATTATTCTGAACACTCATCATACTTTTTGTAGATGAAAAAAGGTTAACTTGAGGTTGACTGTCCCCACTATGTTGCATCTGGACCATGGTCTGAAAGACACTGTTCTGAATCTGTTTTGCTTGTGCTCCAGTTTCTTCTCCATCTCCTGAACTTGATGTCTGAAACATAGTAGTCCCAGGGGTCGCAACCTGCTGTGTGGTGGTTGTAGAGGTTTCATTTCCAGAAACTGCAGGAGGAGAAGAAAACAATTCACATTGCATTTGCATGTCTTCATTGGTAGATAATGCACTCATCATGTGAGAAGTCTGCTGGTAAACTGGTGATTGTTGAAGGTTTCCATTTGCTGAAGCAGATGAAGGAAATAACTCTGACTGAATCTGGGCAGCAGCCTGGCAGATACTCTGCTGCATCTCCATCACCATTGCAGCTGATGATTCCATCACTTGCTGTTGCTGCTGTTGCTGTTGTTGATTAGACAATGAGTTTTCAGTCTGTGGATGAACACTTTCAGCTCTTCCAGGTATTAAATTATCTGGTCTGGTATGGACTGGGGGCTCTGTTGAGGAAAACATTCCAGGGCTTACACTATTTTGAATTTGACTAACTTGTTGAAAAATGTCTGCGCTAAGCTGTTCTTGAACATTTTCATTACCATCTGGAGCAGAAAATAAAACTGAAGATAACTGTTGTTGTGCCTCTAAAACTTGTTGGACCAAGTCAACACTCCCACTGCTGCCACTAGCAGTACTGCCTGTAAAGCTTCCTGCTTGCAACTGCTGAATAGTATTCTGTAGCTGACTCACACTATTTGGTGATGGAAAAATATTTGATGAAATCTGCTGCTGCAAAGTCTGTGCTTGTTCTTGTAGTGGTGACTGCTGCTGTTGCTGTGACGCCTCAGTCAGTTGTGACAAATTAACCACTGTGCCATCTGACTGTAATACCTCTCTAGATTGAGATTCTCTGGTCTGGAATTGCGTAGCCTGCTGCAGCAGTGCATCACTATTGGGCAGCTGACTAGAAGCAGAAACTGCTGGAAAGGTACCAGGCTGTGAGATGTCTTGTGTTTGGATAGTTGTCAGGGTCTCTGGGTTGTACACCTTGGGCTGCATCTGCTGCTGCTTTTCATTTTCAGAAGGTAAGTGGGAAGATGATGGTGATGAAAAAGAACCATTTCCTGCTATGTTAGAGATATTTTCTAGTGTTTGCTGAGTTGATCCAACTGCCTTTGTAGTCTAAAAAATAAAAAAACCCCAAATAATATGAATATATAAAAATATTAAATAAGCTCATAAGATACTTCAAAAATTATTATTGTTCTAAAAGTATAAACAGGACCAATTTTCCACTCTATATTATCATTTAGAGAATGGGTACAAGACTGTAAGTCTGCATGATAACAAGATGTATGACTGTCATCAGGATGTATCTTTTTAAAGTACTACAAGCAAAGATAGTCAAACAACGAAGTAGAAAAGTAATCAGTTATTGATATGCTTAGGCAAATTAAGGGTAATAAGAACACATTAATTCTATGGTTCTGGAAGAGCAGATATCAAAATATCTCCACCTTGTGGCTTATCATTAACATTATAATGAGGGAAACAAGTAAAAAAGGGGAGGGGGAGTTACGGGAAAAGACTTGTGGGGAAAAGTCTCTAATTCTGAAAATGCTAAAATTAGTACGTTCATTAACACCCCATATCCCACAAGTCTAGCAACATATTATGAATAATTCCTCCCTTATTAAAATGTATATTGGCAGTCACTTTGTGTGCAATTTTGCTGAAGTATAAAGCATTCACTCTTAAAAGTAAAATTTATTTAGTGTATCCAAAGCATTATAAAAAGTCAAAGGAATAGGAAAAGTAAAACATAGCAATTTTTATATGTAAAGTTAAGAGTTGGGGTACTAGTCAATATAGCTTACCTTAAAAATAGGGGAAGATCTTTTTTCTGCTGTTACTTCCATTGGAGTAACATCTTCACTCTTAATCATACTGCTTGGTATGAGTGGAGTAATCAGGGCATTAGGAAGGATATTTACCTTATCTAAGTTACATCCAGTAGTTTTCACAGCTGTACACACAAAAAAGAAAGAAAAGTTTAAAATCACAAAAGTTATCAACTATTTCATTCTATAATTTGTTGACTACAGGCTATGATTTAATTTTTTTTTTTTTTTTTTTTGTAGAGATGGGGTCTCACTCTATCATCCAGCTGGTATCAAATTCCTGGTCTCAAGCAATCCTCCTGCCTTGGCCTTCCAAAGTGCTGGGATTACAGGTGTGAGCCACCATGCTTGGTTCTAAATGTCTATTTTTTTTATGCTATAATGGTAGCATGAGATACAAAACTGGTGTATCAGTTTTCTATCTGCCACTGCCAAGCTAGGCACAGTGGCTCATGATATGTTAATGCTTAAGTCTGCCATTTTATTATTTGTTTACTGTTTGTTTCCTTTGCTTCTCTCTTTCTCTTTTTGTTATCTTCCTGTGGGTTATCGGAACATATTTTAGGATTTACTTATACTGCTTCTGAGTATACCACTTCATATAGTTTTCGTACTGGTTGCTCTAGGTATTACAATATATAGGTAATTTGTTGGTATTTATGTTTTACAACTTCATATGAAACATTGAAATCTTACTTTCATTCAGATCCCTTTACCCTCCTCCACTTTTGTTTTCTTCCCCCTATTTTTAAAACAGTTTCAAGTATTTCCACTACATTAAGTACCACAATAAGATGTTATAATTTTTCCTTCAATAATAAAATATGATTTAAGGAACCCATGGAGATTATCTATTATATTTAATCCCTATTTTTATTCACTCCATTGTTCTTCTTCTCCTTCTGAAATCTGAAGCCTCCTCTTGTTACCATTCTCTTTCTGTTTAAAGAGCTTCTTCTAGATACTCTTTTTTTAAGTTTTATTTTATTTTTGACTTACACGTAATATTTGTACATATCATGGGGAGAACGTAATGTTTTGATACATGGATACATTATGTAATGATTGAATCAGGGTAATAAACATATCCATCACCTTAAAAATTTGTCACTCCTTTGTGGTACAAACATTAAAAATCCTCTCTTCCAGCTATTTTTAAATACACATTATTGTTAACTACAGTCACTCTGCTGTGGCAATACAATTCCAGAATTTATTCCTCTTACCTAACTGTAACACTGTACCTACTGACCAATCTCTTCATTTCCCCTTCCCCAACCCCATTCCCCTAGCCTCTGGTAGCCACTATTCTACTCTTAGCTTCTATGAGATCAATTCTTTTAGATTCCACATACGAGTAAGATCATGCAGCATTTGTCTTTCTCTGCCAGGCTTAATTCACTCAGCGTAATGTCCTCCAGGTTCATCAATGTTGTTGCAAATGACATGATTTCACCCTTTTTTATGGCTGAATAGTATTCCATTTCATATATTTACACATTTTCGTTATCTAGTCACCTGTTAATGGACACTTATATTGATTCCAGATCTCAGCTATTGTGAATAGTGCTGCTTTAAACATGGGATGTAGATATCTCTTTGACACACTAATTTCATTTCCTTTGATATATACCCAGATTTTTTGGATAAGATCTCAAAGGCACAGACAACAAAAGTAAAAATAGACAAATGGTATTATATCAAATTTAAAAGCTTCTACACAGCAAAGGAAACAATCAACAGAGTCAAAAGCAACCTACACACTGGGAGAATATATTTGCATTTGCAAAGTATGCATCTTATAAGAGATTAATATCTAAAATATATAAGAAATGCAACTCAATAGTAAGAAAACAACCCAATGAAAAAAATAGGCAAAAGACCTAACAGACTGTTCTTATAAGAAGATATACAAATGGCCAACAGATATATGAAAAAGTATACTGGGCATGGTGAGTCACACCTGTAATCCCAGCGCCTTAGGAGGCTGATGTTGGCAGATCGCTTGAGGGTGGGAGTTTGAGACTAGCTTGGGCAACATAGTGAGACTCTGTGTCTACAAAAAATAAAAAAATTAACCAGGTGGTGTGGCAGCGTGTGCCTGTAGTCCTGCCACTTGGGAGGCTGAGGCAAGGAGTGTGAGGTTACAGTGAGCTATGATCGCACCACTGCACTCCCGCCTGGATGACAGAGCCAGACCTTGTCTCCAGGGGCTGGGGAAAATGCTCAACATCACTAATCACAAGAGAAAAGCAAATAAAACCACAATGAGATATCAGTTCATTCCTGTTAGAATGGCTATTACCAAAAAGACAAAAACATAAGTGTTGGCAAGATTGTGAAGAAAAGGGAACCCTTACATACTATTAGTGAGAATGTAAATTAGTACAGCTATTATGGAAAACAGTATGGAGATTTCTCAAAAAGTTAAAAATGAAACTACCATATGATCCAGCAACCCTACTGCTGGGTATATATCTGAAGGAAATGAAATCAGTATATCAAAGAGATACCTGCACACCCATGTTTATTGCAGCACAATTCACAATAGTCAAGATATGGAATCAATCTTTTACATAGTCTTAAGGGTGGGTCTGCTGGTAACAAATTATTTTAGTTTTCTTTCATCTGACAATATCTTTCCTGAAAGACAGTTTTGCCAGATATAGAATTGTGGTTGACAGTTCTTCTTTTAATACTTGAAAAATACTATGCCACTTCCTTTTGGTTTCCATGGTTCTAAAGAAATACACTATCATTAGAATTTGTTTTCCCCTATAGGTACTACATCATTTCTCTCTGTAGACTGATTGCTTTTAAGATTTCTTGTCTTTAGTTTTCTTAAGATTAAAATTATGATGTGTCTTGGTGTGGATTTATTTTTATCCTATTTGTGGTTTGCTCACCTTCTTGAATCTGTAGGTTTATGTCTCTCATCAAATTTAGAAAGTTTTTTGGCATTAATTCTTTTTTATTTTTTAATCTTTGTTCTTTTTTTGGTGGGGGGGCATTAATTCTTCAAATAGAGTCATACCTTAGAAATCTTGTAGGTTCAGTTTCAGACCACTGCAATAAATACCGCAATAAAGCGAGTCACATGAATTTTTGTTCACAGTGCACATAAAAAGTTATGTTAGTATTATATCCACAAAACAATGTACACAACTTAATTAAAAATATTTTAGGCTGGGCGTGGTGGTTCACACCTATAATCCTAGCACTCTGGGAGGCTGAGGCAGGAGGACTGCTCGAGGTCAGGAGTTTAAGACCAGCTTGAGCAATAGTGAGACCCTGTCTCTACTAAAAATAGAAAGATATTAGCTGGACAACTAAAAATACATAGAAAAAGTTAGCCGGGCTTGGTAGCGCATGCCTGTAGTCCCAGCTACTCGGGGTGGCAGGGGATTGCTTGAGTTAGGGAGAAACTTTAGCCAGGCAACAGAGTGAGACTGTCTCAAAAAAAAAAAAAAAAAAAATTTTTTATTGCTAAAAAAGCGTAGATGATGATCATCTGAGCCTTTGGCAAGTTGAAATCTTTTTACTGCTGGAGGATCTTGCCTTGACATTGATGGCTGCTGACTGACCAGGATGGTGGTTGATGAAGGCTGACATGACAGTAGCAATTTCTTAAAATAAGACAATAATAAAGTTTGCTACATTGATCAACTTTTCTTTTCATGACAGATTTCTCTGTGGCATGTGATACTGTTTGCGTGAGCATTACCCGACAGATTCTTTCAAAATTGGGTCGCTCTCAAAATCCTGCAAGTGTTTTGATCAACCAGAAGTTTATTTGTAACATTCTAAATCCTTTGTTGTCATTTCAACAAGTTCCAGCACCTTCCAGGAAATAAACATTCCTCTCAAGAAATTACTTTCTTGTATCTGTAAGAAGCACCCTATCCATTAACGTTTTATCATGAGTTACATCAATCGTCACATCTTCGGGTTCCCTTTAATTCTAGGCTCTCTTGCTTTTCTACTAATTTGCAGTTGATTTCTTCCACTCAATCTCGAACCCCCTCAAAGTCCCATGAGGGTCAGATCACTTCTTCCATCTTTCTGTCATTTTTGATATGTTGACCTTCTGAGTCACAAATGTCCTTAAGAACATCTAGAATGTTAATTCCTTTCCAGAAGGTTTTCAATGGACTTTGATTAGATCCATAAGAATAATCACTCTCAAAAAATAAATAAATAAAAGAATATCCTCCTCTGCAGCTACAGCCTTATCGAATATAATTCTTAAATAATAAGACCTGAAAGTCAAGATGACTCCTTGATCCATGGGCTGCAGAATGAATGTTGTGTCAGCAGGCATAAAAACAACATTAGTCTCCCTGTACATCTTTCCATCAGAGTTCTTAGGTGACCAGGGGCATTGTCAAATGAGCAGTAATACTTGGAAAGGAATCTTTTTTTCTGAGCAGGTCTCAACAGTAGGCTTAAAATATTCAGTAAACCATGCTACAAACAGATGTGCTGTCATTCAGGCTTTGTTTTCCATTTCAGCCACCAGCAAATAAGAGATTAGCATAATCTTAAGCCCGAGGATTTTGATTGTAAGATGAGCCGTGCCCGTCCGCTCAAGTCTCCAGCATGCATTAGCCTAATAATGAAAGTCACCTGTCTTTGAAGATTGAAGCCGGCATTGACTCTCCTCTCACGTTACAAAACCTTAGATGGATCCTCTCGTACAATAAGCTGTTTTGGTCCACATTGAAAATCTTAGTTATGTAACACATGTTATGAATTATCTTAGCTAGACTTCTGAAACTTGCTGTAGCTCTATCAAGCACTGGGCCTTACCTTGTACTTTCGTTATGAAGACTTCTCTAAACTCATCGAACCAACCCTCTAACCTCCCAATTCTTCGTCATCCTCACGAGTCTCTCAGTATCACAGAAAACAGAGTAGGCCTCGCTCTGGATCGGGCTTGCTAAGGAAATTTGTGCGGTTAATCTTATCCAAGACCACTAAACTTTCCCCTTCAATCAGAAGCTGTTTTGCTTCTACTGTGTGTTACTGTATAACATTTTTTTTTTTTTTTTTTGAACAGACTCACTTTGTTGTCCAGCTAGAGTGATGCCGTCGGCGTCCTATCCTCACAGCAACCTCCAAACTCCTGGGCTCAAGCTCCCTCCTGCCTCAGCCCCCGATAGCTGGGAACTCGCAGCGCCACCATGCCCGGCAGCCAATTTTTTTATATACATTCGTTGGCCCATTATTCTCTTCTAATTATTAGAGGAGCGGGTCTCGCTCTTCTCAGAGCTGGGTTTTTGAACTCCTGACCTGAGCAATCGCCCGCCTCACCTCCAAATCGAGCTAGATTACAGCGTGAGCCAAGCGCCGACCTGGTATAGTACTTTTAAATTCCTTCAGAACCTCTTCCTTCTGGCCGTGGGGGCGCGTGCTCACGCCTGTAATCCTAGCCCGGGAGCCGAGGCAAGGCAGATGCTCGGTCAGAGTTCAAAACACCCCGAGCAAAGCGGACCTCCTCTACTATAAAAATAAAGAATTATGGCCAACAATATCAATATAGAAAAAATAGCTGGGATGTGCCACAATGCTATGACCCCAGCTACTGAGCTAGGCAGGAGACGCTTGAGCCCAGAGTTTGAGTGCTGTGAGCAGCGATGCCATGCACTACTCTGCCGGCAACAAGTGAACTCTCTCAAAGAAAAAAAGAAAAAAGAAAATCCAAGTGGTAAATAAGAAAGACATATTTAGTCATCCCAATAGTGATTTGAATTTGCAGAGAATATTGCTATTGATAGTTTATGCCAAACAGTTTTTAAAGAGCTTTCTCTTCCATCCATATCAAATAGTAACAACTTTTGAAACTTAGAATAACAATAATTTTTACTAAGTTTGTTGCTAGCAAGAAGCATATGTTTGGCTAAAATGTGAATTAAGATTTATAAGAGAGGAAACAGGATAGAGTGAAAAGAATATAGACTTTTGTGGGAAATCTAAGCTGCAACCTCTTTTGAGCAAATCATTTAACCTCTCTTAGCTTTGGTTTATTCACCTATAAAATGAGATGGAATTAAATTATCTCTGTGGGTCCTCCAAGCTGCTAAACCTTGCTACATAGTTGTAACTAGTTAGAGAAAAGTATATGCTCTCAATTATTTTTCACACTCCTCCAATTAATCCTTACAAAATTGAAACTGAGAGAATACACATCAGTTCTTTATCCCTAGGTCCTAAACCTACATTACAGAGTCTTTGAGCAATCTATGTAGTTTATACAAACATCTATCTATACCTATATAAATGTAGGAAACTTTCTAAAAGATTCCCAAGAAATTATTAACAATAGTATATACTGTACACTTTATCTTATTTGACTTTGTATCACTTTTGTGTTAAGGATACATTTACTTTTTTTTTTTTTTTATTAGATTGGCTACATCTGTGGAATAAGGATACATTTATAGCTGGGTAAAGCTTAGAGAGAAAGCTTTCAATACCTGGCCATAATATCATCTTTATCAGTTCTAAATCTTAATGTAATTGATGGCTATTTATAAGAATGTTACTTGGAGGATTACTGCCATAATACAAGTTTAAAAGTCATTTATGATACTTAGTCTTCATCATTAAAGTATAACTAATTAAATCTCCATACAACACCTTAGCATAATACTAAAGCTGTGGTTTGAAGGAATCATAAAAATAAGCTATTTGTCAAGGAAAATTCCTGGTTCTGAAAGCTATTGCTTTTTAAAATCAATCAGAAAGCTCCAATTAATAATATTATATTTAATATGCCTGAAAGAATGGTCTTGCTAACAGCTAACAAGAAAATAAATTTCTAACTGGCAGCCACTTAGAGTAGCATAAAACTTGCCTGTAAGGTGAGTAACATGAGTATCTCTTCTACAGAGATGTTTACCTAGCAATTAAAAGAAGCTAAACAGACAAAAGAAGGTATAAATCCTCATTAACATTCACCAGAGCTGGTCAAATCACATTCCAAAAGGGAAAAAATTTCTGGGAGAGGGGAGGAAAGGATAGACTATCTGATGGACTGTCATCAAAAATTCACTGCCTGTAAAAAGGTTGTTTGAATATTGTTTAAACAGCCTTGAAAAAGTTCCTTAGCGGACAGTGAGAGTGTGAACTTCCCCTACTTCCTCAAGAAGACACAGTACCAGATGCCTCCCGCTATCAAGAAGAAACTTATTTCTGTTATCAATCTGCTACATGAAAAACAGAAAAAAACCAACACAGCAGTTTCTCAGCTGTCTTCTGCTAACTGAGCTACAGTCATAACCACCCCCACCCTCAGCCTGCCCTAATAAAGAGCCAGAGTCATTTTGCCTCAGAGCCAGTGCCTCTCTTTATTTCTGATGCGGTACACACTCTCTCTTTGGAGAGAATAAACTTTATGATTCTGTATATCCTAATCACTGTCTGAGAATTCTTTCTCTAACCCGCGCTGAACACCTAGTAAATTTCACACTCTAACAATGACAAATGAAAACTCTAAACTAAGATAGTTTAGTATCCAATTTAATTTTGTATCTTCATAAAATTATTTTTATCATACTGTCATTTGATAAGTAATTGTCAAATTGTCAATTGTCAAATTCTCAAAATAAGGTCTGAACTGTAAAGAAAAAGGAAAAAAAAGAATAATACATATACACCTGTCTCTTATTCCTTCTTTAGGCTACCAAGATTTTGATCAAAGAACTAAATCTTTTTTTTTTTTTTGGATACAGGGTCTCACTCTTGTTACCCAAGCTGGAGTACAGTGGCACAATCACAGCTTACTATAACCTCAAACTCCTGGGTTCAAGTGAGCCTTCTGCCTCAGCCCTCTGTGTAGCTGGGACTACACGCATATGCCACCATACCCAGCTGATTTTTAAAAAATTTTTTTACAGGGTCTCACTATGTCGTCCATGTTGGTCTTGAATCCCTGATCCTCCCACCTGGGCTTCCCACAGTGCTGGGATTACAGGTATGAGCCACTGTGCCTGACCAAAATCTTTTTATTACTAAAAACTAAATACAGCATTTAAAACCTTTGACTATCAATTCATAATCTTGTATGAGAAACTTCATATTGGATTAGACTGTATTCTAGTCAGCCTGATACTCTGCGAAAGCAGCATCAAGAGATTTTTGGAGAAAAGTATAAATGCCTCAAAGTTAGCAAAGGATAGACCACAAATATTCCTGACTTTCTTAAATAATTATGATATTATTCATTTATTTATGTTTGAATGATTTTTGCTTAGATGCATTACCTTACACACCAAAGCTCAATCACACCAAAGCTCAATCCTAGCTAAGTGACCATGGCAAATTATTTAACCTCTCTGGACCTCTGGCTTCCTCATCTATGAAATGAGAACAGTTAAGTAACCTACCTTGTAAAATTTGGAAGATTAAATAAGATGATGCCTGTAAAGAGCTTGCATATTGCCTAGCATTTAATATATGTTTAATAAATGTTAGCTTTGGCTAGCAATAGATTTGTGAATTTTCCTTCAGTAGAATCTGATAATCTAAGCAGTTTATTTACTACTCCACAATTCCTCATTAATCTACTCTGGAAAGTGTTCATGGTCAGAAATTATAATAACAAGCTATATTGAACACATCCATACATTTCAATGCTAAATTTTATCACTCACAGTAGAAAAAAAGTCATTGTATTTGATAAAATTTATTAAGCATATTATGCCCCTTGAAAACACAGCTGAGTACAGTATTTAAATTTTTTATTTAACTTGATTTAACTTATATGAATTTAAGGGCAGAAAAATATAAATAAAAGCCAAAATTAAGATATATGCCATTATGTAACTGGTATCTTCATATATAAAGGCACAAAAGCATCATCACTGTATACCATAGCTGCATGAGAAATATGCTAAAGACTAGGCATGGTGGTTCATGCCAGTAAATCCTAGCACTTTGGGAGGCTGAGGTGGGAGGATCGCTTGAGATTAGGAGTTCAAGACCAGCCTGGGCAACATATCAAGACCCTGACTCCACAAAAAGTAAAAAAATTAGCCAGGTGTGGTGGCATATGCCTGTAGTTCCAGCTACTCGGGAGGCTGAGGCAGGAGGATCACCGAGCCTGGGAGTTTGAGGTTGCATGAGCTATGATGACAGCGTTGTACTCTAGCTAGGCCAAGCAACAGAGCAATACTCTGCCCCCAAAAAAATCTGCTAAGGAAATAATCTGCTCTATCACATTATAACATACTGAAGATATAATTTATCTTCATTGTTTCTTAAGATTGCTAGAGGAGTAAATAAAGATGTCAGAAAGAAGAGTAATTTAAGAACCTAAATCAACTTTGTCAAATGCCTATAGTTTATATTTCTGTCTCTTCAGTCTCAATGTAGCAAGAAGTTTTACAGATTGTATTTACACTCTTATACTTTGCATATACTTTTAAGAATTTTAATACTGGGGAATTAAAAAACAAAAAACTCCTCTATTCCAATATATATTAAAAAATTATGTTTATATGCTGAATGAAGGAAAATACCAAGTTGAAAAACAAGTCTGCATTCAGTTAAGTTAAACAAATATTTATTTTACAATATGGAAGATACCCTCCTAAGTGTTGTAAGTATATAAGGGAAAACAAAATACTAGGTTTGCTAGAGAAAACATACAGGATCACCTACTTACAATTTTTAAGAAGAATCAAATTGGTACCTTTCAAGGCCTCTTCAAAAGAGCAAGGTCTTGCTGGACTAGTTATTTCCTTCTTCACATTTACATTCAAAGTACCAGCTACTGCTATTAAAAAAAAAAAGATGAATGTATTTATTTAAATTTATTCACCCTAACAAAATTTGTACTTTAAAAACTTTAATTGGAATATTTTGTCACAAAGCATCATTTAATTACTTGTTTAGCAGAAATTCTAGGTTGAGATGAGTATTCATAACCAGCAGTCTATCCTTTAAATTCACTGATCTCCAAGTAGGCAGAGCATATGATCACTTACCAAAACAAAAACAAAAGAATTCTTAAAAAACCTTCTTGTAACAGTATACATGTTGATGACATCAGAAGAACAGAAGATTGATAGAAGAATATCAATCATTTAAAACTTATGTGGGAGGCTGAGGCAGAAGGATTGCTAGAGCCCAGGAGTTTGAGGTTGCTGTGAGCTAGGCTGATGCCACGGCACTCTAGCCAGGGCAATAGAATGAGACTCTGTCTCAACAAAAAACCCCAAAAAACAAAACTTATGAAACATACTGGAACACTAGCAAGAAAAAAATTCACTCATTTGCCTATATAAATGATTTAGTAAAAATCATTGATTCAGAAGCATTAGTCAATTAATGTTTAAGCTAAATAAGTATGAACATACTGAATATTATGATTACTATTTTTGTAATGCTTTGAAAAAAACCATTGCTAGTATTAATAAAGAATTGCTAGGCTCCTATATCTAGTCATATTAATTATATCTACTATGACAAGTTTAAATTTAATAAGCCTACAAATAGAGATCAGTACTAAATGATAAAGCAAATAAATGGATTCTTGTTTCAAATGTTAATTTTATTTAAATACATTTTAATTTCTTTCTTTTTTTTTTGAGGCAGAGTCTCACTCTCTTGCCCCGGCTAGAGTGCCATGGCATCAGCCTAGCTTACAGCAACCTCAAACTCCTGGGCTCAGGTGATCCTCCTACCTCAGCCTCCTGAGTAGCTGGGACTACAGGCATATGCCACCATGCCCGGCTAATTTTTTTTTTTATATATATATCAGTTGGCCTTAATTTCTTTCTATTTATAGTAGAGACGGGGTCTCGCTCTTGCTCAGGCTGGTTTCAAACTCCTGACCTTGAGCGATCCACCCACTTAGGCCTCCCAGAGTGCTAGGATTACAGGGGTGAGCTACCATGCCCGGCCCTCAAACAAGATTTTCTAACAGTGATTGCTATCTATGATACACAAAATATATGGGGGGAAAACTTGAAAGAACAAACATACAGTAATGATTATCCAAGTATGGCTGAAATTAGGCAATTATATAGCCTTTAAAGCAGACTACCTTAAAGCTGCTTTATTTGGCAAATTTATTAAAGGAAAATTTCTAATAATCACCATTTATCACTGAGAAATGAGGATTCTTAGTGCTGATGTTAAGTACTTCAAAGTCCTCTATAACTGATCAATAAAAACAAACAAACAACAAAATCTCAGTATTTTCAGGACAGCAAAAACTTTAAGCTTATTCCTTGACATACATCCCCCTTTTCTTCCCACACAAGTGATACAGAAGCCCATCAGAAAACAAATTCTTACATATTAATTATATCATCTTTTTCTCCACATTTATACAAGCTCCTGCACAATATTCAACGTTAATATTTAGTAACTGCAGTTACTAAAATGCTTTAACTAGTGTTAATTTTAAATGGGATGTCCTTGGATTTTTGAGGCCTTCCTAGAAAGAAAACAATCAAATATTTTGGTCTTTGAGTGTAAACCAATCTTCTTTCTCCTATTTTTGTTGAAGCCAGAATATTATTTCTACACTTTGCCTTTTCATTCCAAAGTTTTTACTCATGATCTTTTATTGTGAGACAAATACCAAGAGATATTTCATTAGTGGTATACTGTGGCACACTTTTATAGCAAACTAGTGGAAAATAACCAATGTTACAAAATGCAGGCATGATTAAAAACAATATAGAGAATAGATAAATAAGGTGACTGAAAGTAATTACCAAGACTAGTTCTAAATCTGTCCTAGGCTTTCTTTCCCTGCCACCTTTCTTCACTTTCTACCTCACTGGATCCTCAACTATTTGGGAATAACGTATCAATAAACTACAGAAATGGAAAAACTGCCAATTCTGAAGTACTCCTGAGACCAGAATGAACTGAACTAATGGTAAACACAGAAGACACCAAACCTAGGTCAAGGGGAACATGCAAAGAGCTTCCATTTCCAAAATGTTCTATTTCTGCCAGGAGAAGGCTTTTTTCTTCTTCAGGCAACTAAATGAATGTAGGCAAATAACTCATGAAATACTTCATAGGGAGATACCTTCTAAACTTTTAACATTTCAGATGGTCTTGTTCCTTCGATTTCTAAAATATTTTACATAATTGCTTCAAATTATATTTTAAATATTTATTTACCACCAATCTTTAATATTTTTTATTTTACCACTTACCACTCACTCCAGGCTTTTGTCTTACCTCTCTCAAAATGCATCCTATCAACCAGCCAAACTAAACCATTAGCCATTTCCCCAAGCTGTCACTTTCACCTGTCTGCATATAAGAGGTGCTCAATAAATGATAACTCTTGGTAAGGAGTAATCTGCAAGATAGCTTCAGAGAGTCTGACTTCATAGCATTCCTGGCTTTTATTATTAGAGTATAAGGTAGAAATGATTCCCTTAATTAAAGAGTAAAAGCAATATTTGGTGGCTGTCTTCTTACGAAATAATGCCATCTCTAAAGGAAACTATCATCAACTCATTGATATCGGCAACCTATTCTTTTGGCTGGCTGATTGTCTTCATATCCTCCCAAAGAACTAGAAATTAATTATTAATTTTAGTTCAGAATTTTTTATGTTGACATACCTGGGTCTGGAGTATAAGTGAATGGCTGAACATCATGAGATCTTCCAGCATTAGTCACAACATATATTCCCACTGATACAGGCAAAGTTATATGTTGGTCATGATAGGGGGGAACCTTCACGATAAGATGATTCTAATGTAAAGAAAAGTTTAAGAGTTAAAATAGAAGCAGTATTTATTTATTTATTTTTAATATGCCATAAAAATGAGAAAAGAAAGCAGTATTTAAATTTTAAAAATTTTATTAAGTTTAAGTACATTTCCTATTAGCTGTAAAGTTTTGAAAATCTGATTAGAAAAAGAATGTATTTAAAGCTCAGGTTCACTGGCATCAGGACATTAATCTTAAAATTGCTTTTAAGGTATAGTTCAAATGGCTTACAATAGCTAACAAGGTCCCTGTCCTGTCAACTTTTTATCATTTCCACTCTCCCCTTAGCACACTATACTCTAGCCACACTGACCTTCTCAGTCTGTTCTTCTAAGACACTACACTCAGTTTTACTTCAGACTATATTTGCTAGTCTCTCCAACTATAATATTCTTTCTTCATCTCTTCAAATGGCAAGTTTCTTACCTGTTTTCAGGTCTTAAACAAAGGTCACCTCCTCAAAGAAGTCTTCCCTGACCATCCTATTTAAAGTAACACCCCTCCCCACCTGACTACGTAATCTTGTTTATTTCCATAACGACACTATCACTACCTAAAATTACCCTAATTTTTGTCTCTCTCCAACCACCAAGAATCTAAGCTCCATGAGGATCTAGGCTGTTTTATTTTTCACTCTACCTTCCCTGTTACGAATAGTACCTTACACAAAATACACACAAATATATTTGCTGAATAAAAGAATAGATAAATTAAGGGGAAAAAATATGCCCACAAACAGCAAAGTCACTTATCATATGTTCTGTACAACCTGAATGTGAGATGTACTATCCAGTGCAGTTCACTACTTCCTAACCACTTAATTCTCATTTAAAGTCAAATAGGATTTAGTTTATTCAAACCTCAGTAAATGAAGAATATTTTTAGTCAGAATAGTGGCCGAAGCACCCTTACAAGAAAAGAAAAGGGTAGAGTTCATAAATATTTCACCAGTATTTATTTAAGGGGACTACGTCTTAGAAGATAACATGAATCACAGTTGACTATTTTTCTTCTTCATTATAGATTGTAATACTGGAAAGGAACATTGGGGGTGGAGATTACTATGCTTTTTGACTAATGATCTGATATCAGGAGGCCAAAACTGACAGCTGAGGGTGAAGTCAATTTGATGGCATTTTAAAAATTTACTTAGACTGTAGTTGGTTGATTCAGTTGAACAGAACATGGGACAAATGAGATCAATGCCAAGATTTCAATTTCTGAGCACTTAATTTGTTTCTAAGCCATCTTAAAACACACTCTCTGAAATAAAGTCACACTACAAATAATCAGCTTCTAATTTATGGCATTAACAGAATGCCTCCAAAGTTAACCATCTCAAAAAAGCCACATACTTTAAAACCAGCTGAAAAAACATGCACAAACGTGCGTACCTCCATAGTTATTCAGGGGGAGGATCTTAAAGCACACAAGGTCGTCAAAAATGCACTGGCACTGATACAACTTCTAAGAAACAAGAGTTTTTGAATCTTGTCTACCTTTGTTTTTTTTTTTTTTTTTTTGAGACAGAGTCTCCTTTGTTGCCCAGGCTAGAGTGAGTGCCATGGCGTCAGCCTAGCTCACAGCAACCTCAATCTCCTGGGCTCAAGCAATCCTACTGCCTCAGCCTCCCGAGTAGCTGAAACTACAGGCAAGCGCCACCATGCCCGGCTAATTTTTTCTATATATATTAGTTGGCCAATTAATTTCTTTCTATTTACAGTAGAGACGGGGTCTCGCTCTTGCTCAGGCTGGTTTCGAACTCCTGACCTCGAGCAATCCACCCGCCTCGGCCTTCCAGAGTGCTAGGATTACAGGCGTGAGCCACCTCGCCCGGCCTCTACCTTTGTTTTTATCTTAATGTTTAGACACTATGACTATGTCACAGAACCAGGCTACCTAGAGTTAAGGAGATGGTTGAATAGATAGCTTGTGAAATATCCTTTCACTCTATAATTGAAAGTATTCTTCTGAATAATAACTTATGTCTTGGTAAGTAGAAACAGGATTAGTATCTAAAAATTCAGATGCATATTTTATCAAAATAATATACAAATATATATAATACTTTTACTCTACTTGCTTAGAAAGCATATTTAAGCAAAATTAATTTGAAACCTTTTAAAAAATCAAGTGAACCTATTTTGCTACTAATTCTTCATGTTTCCTTCAATCTGAATCTAGAAATTCCTGATTTGAATCCAAAAACAGGTAAATTGTGCTGTAAAAAAATAAAAAATAAAATAAAAAATCCAACTGTTAGAGATGCTGTAAAAAAAAATAAAAAAAAATAAAAAAATAAAAAAAAAAACAAAAACAGGTAAATTGTTTTTAATACTACTCTTACATATTAGGAGCAATTAACTACTACTGAGCCAGGAATACAATACATACAAAACATGAAAGGGCTGGGAGGCCTTTACAATAGGTATAATGTTCTTTGAGACAAAAAGAGAAGAATATCTAAATTTTAATTTCTTAGAAAAATCGGCTTGGACTCAAAATAATTTTTTTCCCTAGCAGATAATCTTTTTCTGCTGCATACAAGCAATGGACATTTTTCAATCTCCTATGAGAAAATGACCATTGCCATATTCATTTTACAGTTGGGAACATATATAATCAAACTTGACCAAAGACATATTACAAAATTACACTTAGAACTAATTGAAAACACAAAACCTCTAAACTCCTGAGTCTTTGTTTAATCTAGTTCTTCCCACAAGTTCTGCTGAGGATTTTTTGGGCATTTATTTCAAGAATTTTCTTTCAATATTTATATTCTATCTTCCTCCAAGCTATCTTTTTATGTATATGTGTGTGTATACATACACACAGAGACACATAAATGTGTTTATACATTTATTTTTTGATAGACAATGTTTACATAATTCATCTAAAGTTGTTAAAAGGGAATAGATATAATGACTATGTACTCATCATATTTGGTATACATAAGCATGACATGTATTGTGGCCTTGACTAGAAGAGCCAAATATTAAACAAAGAACTTTTCTCAAACTTCATTAATCTCAATATTTTTATAATAGAAAAAGTTTAATACTCAAAGAGTCAATTTCGAGGTTGCAACTAAATGGCTAGTGTAATTTTTCATAATTGCAATTTGCAAAATTATCCCTTTGTTACTTGGGCTACAGTGCAATCGTGTTATCATAGCTCACTGCAAGCTCAAACTTCTGAGCTCAAGCAATCCTGCCTCACCCTCCTGAATAACTGGGACTATAGGTGTATGCCACCATGACCAGCTAATTTTTCTATTTTTTTGTAGAGATGGGGTCTTGCTATTGCTCAGGCTGGTCTTGAACTCTGGCCTCAAGCCATTCTCCCATCTTGGCCTCTCAAAGTGCGGGGATTTACACGTGTGCGTCACTGTGCCTGGCCCTGATATTTCTTTATTGACCATTGAAATTTCTTTTCTTTCAACACATTTTCTTCCCTCTACATGTCTAATTTCTTTTTTCCTTTAATATGATCTCTACAATCAATTCTCTAGAATCTCAGCTCTGATTCCACTCTAAGAAAATACTTCCCAGAAAGCCCCTTTAGAAAAAAAAGAAATAAAAGCTCTCTGAAATAATTTTGAAATGAATGAAATCACAGAATTAATGACAGATCATATTATGATTTAGTTTGTTTACATACTTGCTTGCAAAAACCCCAGGACCTCTAGATATAGCCACCAAATAAGGACATAATTCCTTTCCATTCCACCACATGTCTTATTTTTATGATTATTCTTCTTTAATCTATTGTAGCTGGCATAACTGCCCTGAAAAAAAGTGTTTTAAAAACATAACTACCCCATGCCTCAAATGGAGAGAGAGAGAAAGGGGGAGAGGGGAGAGAGAGAGGGAAGATGACTTGTTAATATAAAGTTATATATGAAATAGCAAGTTAAGACTATAATTTGTTGGGGCTATTTTATTCATTTGTATGGCAAGTCTCTCAATCTCTAGAACTAGTCTCCTTATCTATAAATACATAAGAATAAGAATTGTAATAGAACATTATAAGCAAGGGATTCTACATCAATCTAATCAATTTGTCAAAAAAGAAAACATGTCAATAGCATACAAAAGTATTACAGGGATAAATTAAGTTTCATTCAGGATTAAAACTCTAGATATGTAAGAACCTGTTTGAAATTAGGGTTTGAAGTACCCTCAGAAAAAGCAAATGGACCTTAGACCACAGAGTCCTCTTTTTCTTCAAGGTGAATAAAAATGAACTAGCAAGTTTTTCTTGAGTATCTGTTAAGTGTTTGGAACAAAGAAGAGTCGTAGTATATTGTCCCTAACTTCCAGGGTTCCTCTAGAAGAAGCTACTGGTGGTTCATGGGGAGTGGGGATGGTCTGATCAAGTTATGTAAGAAATAATAAAATGTCAGCATTAGAAGAAGGCTCAAATAATCTAGCGAAAGAGCTTATATTATAGACTAGAAAACTGGGGCACAAAAGTGACTTGCTTAGATAACCCAGATTGTTAATGACAAAGCAGACATTAGAACTGCAGTTAAGACCAGTCTGAAGACAAACTCTAGGAGATATTGTTTAATGGTTTACGTAACAAAGGAATGACTGTTAAATCACATTTATCTCTTTTTTTCAGCGTGTAGTAGCATAAGTCTGGAGGAATACTTTATACATAGCATTGGCCTAAGTACTTAGGAAGCTCCTACTTTATAGAATATTGTGTAGTAAAGAATTATCTTTACCCAAAGACAGGTCTGGTCTTTGCCCTTGGCTACTGGGAGGTGATCTCTAGGCCTCTGCAATGTCTCATCTGATAGGATTATCTTTGTCTGAGGGCTTTGGCCACCAGACAGTCTAACAATGTGATTTATAAGGGGAGATTTGGAACATGCTTAATATTGTTCTGACCTCTGGTATAAGTGAAGACTAAAGGTCAGCTACATGGGCAGTATATAATCAAGTCTGAATAAAAACTCTGGACACCAAAGGACAGGGTGAGGTTCCCTAGTTGGCAATTCGCTGTATACTGTCACACTCTGATGTGCCAAGAGAGTAACATGTCCTTGAGGATGAGAAAAGCGTGGTGTTTGAGACCCTCCTAGACCTTGCTCTATGCACCTATCCCTTTAGTTCAGGAGTCCTCAAACTATGGCCCGTGGGCCACATGTAGCCCGCAGAGGACATTTATCTGGCCTGCCGGGTGTTTTTGCCACCACTGCCTGTCCTGCTTAGCACCCAACTCATCCCGGGCCCACAGTGCGCATGTGTGGAATGTGTGCCCACTCTCCAATGGCCCTCCAACGGTCTGAGCGACAGTGAACTGGCCCCCTGTTTAAAAACTTTGAGGACCCCTGCTTTAGTTAGTTCTGATGTGTATTCTTTTGTTATAAAACTATAATCATAATTATAGCACTTTCTAAAGTTTTGTGAATTGTTCTAGCAAGTTGTCAAATCTGAGGGGATAGTAGGAAAACCTGAATTTGAAGCCAGCTGTTAAAAAGGGATGGTGGCCTGGAGATGTCTGAACTTGCGGTTGGTATATAAGTAGTGGCAGTCTTGGCTGTGCCCTTAGCCTTGAGTTTAGCAATATACTGGATATATAATGTTTTAAATGTTTTTACTCATTTTTTTTTAATATACAAAGGAATAAAAACTAAATTTAAAAACCACAAAGGGATTATAAACTTTTTGGATAAATTGGCTGTAGATTTTCCAATTTTTGCTTCTTCCATTCCTCTACTTGTTTTTATGTGCTCCTTTCTAACCCCATCAACTCCTTACACTAAATTTTAGGCTTTGGGTATTTTACACATTAGCTTGCTCCTGTTTCTGTCTTCTCTCTCTGATCTATACCTGTACACATTACTTTTCTGTATGTGCCTTCTATCTAACTTGTTCATAAATTTGGCCTTCTCTTCTGTTAGTCTCAACTTCTACGGTTTGGTCCTATCTGCTCTACATACTAAATCTCAATTCAGGTCTTGATCCTTGTTTTCAAGCTCTTATCCCTTATTATTTGGAAAAAAATATATGGTAAAGTCCTACAAATACAGACTCATTAATTAATATAAGTATAATAAATGTTTCTAAATGCAAGAAGATAACTTTAACAAACATCAAGCACCTGGCACATAGCTGGTATATTAATAAATATCAGTTTCCCTTTGATGTAACTATATAGTAGGGTAAGGTAACCTAAATCCTCAGAAAAAATAAATATTAGTAAAGAAATGTTTCAATTATTAACAATGGTAACATTTGCTAATGCTCTTAACTTTTTAAAATAGAGAACTGGTCATGTCTAGTATTTGTGGAATAATTCTATTTCAGTTAAAGAAACATTTATTTATTTATTTAAATTATTTAAATTAGAGACAAGGTCTCACTTTGTCACCCATGCTGGAGTCCAGTGGTGCAATCATAGCTTACTGCAATCTTGAACTCCTGGGTTCAAGCAATTCTCCTGCCTCAATCTCCTGAGTAGCTGGGACTACAGGTGCATACCACCACACCTAGCTAATTAAAAAAAAAAATTTTTTTTAGAGATGGGTCTTGCTATGTTGTCCAGGCTGTTCTACTGGGATTATAGGTGTGAGCCACCATGCTACACCCAGTGAAGAAAGAAACTTCAAATGATTCATATCAATCTCAGATGAAGAGGAAATTTAATCTATTGATTCAGGAATATTTCAAAACAAAACTGAATTGCTCAGAGAGTAAACAATCAAATTATAAAAAGGCTTAGATTATACCTGATGAAATAATTCCATGTCGATTTCAGCTTCTGACTTCCAAGAGTTTTCATCTGATTGAAATAAAAACAGTGACTTACTAAATATCCGAACTTTTTTTTTTACTCTATAGCTATGACTATATCAATATAACAAAATCTCTGTACCACTAATATGCCTACTTACCAGAAACATTTTCTTGGAAAATAACTTTAGTTCCTTTCAGAAAATTTTTGCCAATTAAAAACACTTCCTCTTCTCCTTTCACCGAGCAGCTATGCAAGCTTTTCTTTAAGATCTCTGGCACTCCTGCTGGCTGAGCTGTGGATATACATAAACATTCCATAAAAAGAACCACCAACACTTCTTACCTAAAATCAACTTGCAATTACCTAGTTCTAGGAGTTGTCTTTGTTGAAGAAAGGACAGTGAACATTTTGACAATAACACAATTATTGGAAAGGCTGTAATTCTTGTCCTACTGACATCAGGCTTGGCCATGTGACTTGTTTGGATAATGAAATGTGAACTGAAAAGTAATGTGCCAAGTCCAGCCAAAAACTTTAAGAGCCATCACATGATTCCACCATCTCTGTTGTTGTAAGCCCCTGAGATTCTCTTTTTTGTTTTGGTTGTTTGTCTGTAACATCATTTAGCCTCTACCTACTGATAAAAACAAGTATCTCATCTTTGTTAAATACAGGTTGAGCATCTCTAATCCAAAAACGTGCAATCTGAAATGCTCCAAGATCTGAAACTTTTTGAGCATTTCAATGGTGTCAGAAGTGGAAATTTCACACTTGACACATTATTTTTCACTGTATTAATGTATGTCATATTTTTTACTGATAAGTACTTATGTATGAAAAAGTATAAGAAAATGATGGTTTATTGGTAGTATATAAATATGGAGTCAGGAATAATGGTGATGCCAAAAACCATAGATTTGTCCACTTTCCTGGGTAAGACAGTGACATTTTTGTTTTTTGATGGTTCAATGTATACAAACTTTGTTTCATGCAAAAAATTACTAAAAATATTGTATAAAATTGCCCTTAGGCTATGTGTAATGTATATATGAAACATAAATGAATTTCACGTTGGGACTCACAAGTCCCATCCCGAAGGTATCTCATTATATATGTGCAAATATTCCAAAATCCAAAAAAATCCAAAATCTGAAACACAAAGGATACTTAACCTATATGTAAACAGGCCGGGCACAGTGGCTCATGCCTGTAATCCTAGCACTCTGGGAGGCCAAGGCGGGCGGATTGCTCCAGGTCAGGAGTTCGAAACCAGCCCTGAGCAGAGCTGAGACCCTCTCTCACTATAAATAGAGAAATTAACTGGCCAACTCAATATATATAGAAAAAATTAGCTGGCATAGTGGTGCATGCTGTAGTCCCAGCTACTCGGGAGGCTGAGGCGCAGGATGGTTGAGCACGAGTTTAAGGTTGCTGTGAGCTAGGCTGACGCCATGGCACTCACTCTAGCCTGGGCAACAAAGCCAGACTCTGTCTCAAAAAAAAAAACAACAAAAAAAACCCAGATGACATTTTCAGCAATATCTGGCAGTTTAAAAGAAATTATAAGCATATATGAAAATACATTGTCTAGAACTCACAATGTTAATGTATAAACAGAATAAAAAGGGTTATTGGTCACACACTAGCAAATATATACCCTTTTAAATGAAGAAATATTTAGGCCAGGTTTGGTGGCTCATGCCTATAATACTGCAACTTTGGGAGGCTGAGGCAGGAGGATCGCTCAAGGTCAGGAGTTCGAAACCAGCCTGAGCAAGAGCGAGACCTGTCTCTACTAAAAATAGAAAGAAATGAATTGGCCAACTAAAAATATATATAGAAAAAATTAACCGGGCATGGTGGCGTATGCCTGTACTCCCAGCTACTCAGGAGGCTGAGGCAGAAGGATTGCTTGATCCCAGGAATTTGAAGTTGCTGTGAGCTAGGCTGACGCCACAGCATTCTAGCCTGGGCAACAAAGTGAGACTCTGTCTCAAAAAAAAAAAAAGAAATATATAAACCATCAATTTATTTATAGGTCACTTTTTTGAGTAACATAGGAACTAGAAATTTGTTATTGAAACATTCAAGAGGGGGGAGGGGGGAGAATGGGCATTTATTGAAACCTTGAAATCTGTACCCCCATAATATGCCGAAATAAAAATAAAAAAAAACATTCAAGAAAAAGATGGTAAACACTATTTTAATTATAAAACAATAAGAGGTGCAAAATTATATGAATATGTTGCATTAACAAAATGAAATGTAAAGTCTAAACCTTTTCCCCTATTTTCAAACACTATGTGGAAATTCTACTTCACTGATTACTGTTAAAACTTTTTTTCCAATCTCCTTTTTTCCTTTTATGTTTCTTTTTTTTTTTATCTTCTCTTTTCTTATAAGCCATACCAAGAAACTTTTTTCCTTTTATGTACTAAAGGCATAAGATGGCCACATGAGGCCCTGAAGGTTTACAATGTATTTATCTTCTACGTATTTGTATTTATATTACAGAAAGAACTAGTCTGTAATATAAGAACTAGTCTGTAAGATAATTTAACTTTTAACCTTTTAAAAGGTCCTTTCTATTAAAAAGTTTAATGATTACCTAACAGGACATATTCCACACTAAACAGGACTAAAGCCAGGATTATTTAAGCATTAACTGTTTTATTTTGGTCTTTAAGTAGTTTGTAAGCTAACTCTTAAAAGGGATCACATTGCTTAAAAATAATACCACAGAAAAAGCATCCACCTTTTTGGTATTATAAAAACAGTAATGCTTAGATGCTTTTCAAATAATAGTCTTAAAAATAAAGCTGAAAAACATTAATGAATATCTGAATACTGAAAAATAACTAAGCAAGTATTTCAACCTGTCAAGAGAGAATTTACAAAGCTTTGTAATAATGTCTGTGAGAGGTATACATTAAATAGAAAATTTTAGAATAAAAAGCCTCCATCTGATCATGTCAATTACTAATCATGCCCAAAATTTTGAGAGGTAGTAGTTTACTTAATGATATTATCCTTTTCCCATAGTTGTAGGATAGGTAGGAATAAAAGAACTAGAAACTTCTTAAATTTAGAGTCAGATTAAATTTAATACACATTTTAGGATAAAATCTAATATATATTATATGTAAGAAAGCCATGATTTATTTTGTCCTATTAAAAAGTTATAGGAGGATAGATAAGAAAAGTGGTTTGTTTTTTTCTTTAAAGATTGGAGTCTCGCTATACTTCCCAGGCTGGATTCAAACTTCTAGGTTCAAGTGATCCTCCATCATCTCAGCCGCCTCAGTAGCTGGGACGATAGGTGCATGCCACTGCACCCAGCTAAAAATTGATATTCTTAATTTGATATAACAATAATATAACATATACACTACAACAAAAAACACATATACCTGTGTTATCTGAAGAACTCTAAAGATGTTAAGAACATAAAAGGGGATGACTCTTTCATCCCCTTAAAAAAAACCAAAAAGACAGACAAAGGATTCAATGGCCATTGTTAATCATTCAGAAGTAGGAATTTTTTTTGAAGCCACAAAGCACAGCATGAATCTTGGCATTAGGCCTTCTTTCCACTGACTGTCTACAGATGGAAGATCAAGTATCTGTTTCCTCTCCTCTCTTCCACCTCTATCACCTTTTGGCCCTTCCTTCCTTTTCTACCTCTCTCTCATCTTCCTGTTTACTTCTACCTCCCATTCCAATTCCAACCTTTCTTACTAACCTATTTCCTTTTTACCTCTCATTCTACTCCAACTGTTTAAACCTACCAAAAAGGTTATATTCATGGAAATACATAAAAGCCAGAAACCCAAAATGAAACAAACATTCTTTTTTAATTTTTTAAATAAAAAGATCTTTTGAGTCCTTTGTTTCACTGTATATATGTTTATTCTTCCTTTTCTTCCATACCCACCACCCAGAGTCTAAGTTAAAGCCTCAGGCTCCTGGCCGGGCGCGGTAGCTCACGCCTGTAATCCTAGCACTCTGGGAGGCCGAGGTGGGTGGATTGCTCAAGGTCAGGAGTTCGAAACCAGCCTGAGCAAGAGCGAGACCCCATCTCTACTATAAATAGAAACAAATTAATTGGTCAACGTCAGCCACCGTATATGATAAAAAGAAAAATTAGCTGGGCATAGTGGCGCATGCCTGTAGTCCAGCTACTCGCGGAGGCTAGGCAGGAGAGGTGCTTGAGCCCAGGAGTTTGAGGTTATTATGAGCTAGCTGATGCCACGGCACTCACTCTAGCCTGGGCAACAGAGTGAGACTCTGTCTCAAAAAAAAAAAAAAAAAAAGCCTCAGGCTCTCTAAGGTGGTCAGGATAAAATTCAAATTATTTTGCTCAACCCAAGTCTCTTTATGAAAGAGATCTTGCCTAGCTCTCTAACCTCAAATCTTACCACTTCTTCATACATTTTTGTTCCAATCATATCAAACTATTTTTATTTATTTTATTTTTATTTATTAATTAATTAGAGACAGGGTCTCACTCTGTTGCCCAGGCTGGGCTCGAGTGTCTTCTCACTTCAGCTTCCTGAGTAGCTAGGACTACAGATGTATTTGCCACCACTTGGGCTAATTTTAAAAAGAAAAATTTGTAGAGACGGGGTCTCACTATGTTGCTCAGGCTGGTCTTGAACTCCTGAAACTCCATGAAACTTGAAAACAGGGTAAGTGTAAGAAGTCAAACAAAAAGGTCATATATAATATATGATTCCTTTTATATGAAATGTCCAAAATAGGCAAATCCATAAAGACAGAAAGTAGATTAATGGTTGCCAGGCCTCAAGTGATCCTCCTGCTTCAGACTTCCAAAGTGCTGGGCATACAGGCCTGAGCCACCACGCCCAGGCCCAAACCCTTTTTAAGTTGCACCAAAGAATCATACTCTTTCAGGGATATATTTATACACTGACCACTCTACCCAGAATGACCTTCTTCTAAGTTCCATTTTGCCTGGCTTACTTCTATTTGTCCTTTCAGACATGGTACAAGTTTTACCATATCCAAGTAGTCTGAATTAGAGGCTCTTATTTTCTATGTTTCCACTGTACCTTATTCATGCATCTACTGTAGATATACAGCATCTTTATATAATTTTATAATATAAATGGAAGTTTATATAATTTTATATAGGTATATATGGAAATTAATATAATTTTATAATACAATTGGAAGTTTACTTGTCTGTTTCTTCTCCTAGCCTGCTAAACTGTATATGCTCAAGTTATCATCTCTTTATTTCCAAAGTATGGCACCTTATAACTATCCATT